TTCACCCAAAGCCCTCAGACAACTAGCACAGAACCTGACACACAGGAAGACCCTAGAATTATCTACTGAATAGCGACAGCGCTGAATGTGGTTGTTCCTTTAATCACTTGGGTACGGCGCTCACCAGTGGCGAAACCTTGCCCACAGCCGGCACTCATAGTCCGCACGATAGTTTTTGCTGTGTATTGACAACGAATCCGGTTTTGCTCTTGTGTGATCAGGAAAGCTTTAAAGCACTGAAAGCTTGTTTTAGGCCGTGTGGTGGCTCATGCTTGTAATCCTAGCACTCTGAGAGGCCGAGGGGGGCGGATTGCTCAAGGTCAGGAGTTCGAAACCAGCCTGAGCAAGAGCGAGACCCCGTCTCTACTAAAAATAGAAAGAAATTAATTGGTCAACTAATATATATTTAGAAAAAATTAGCCGGGCATGGTGGCGCATGCCTGTAGTCCCAGCTACTCGGGAGGCTGAGGCAGGAGGATCTCTTGAGCCCAGGAGTTTGAGGTTGCTGTGAGCTAGGCTGACACCACGGCACTCACTCTAGCCTGGGCAACAAAGCCAGACTCTGTCTCAAAAACAAAAGCTTGTTTTATTTTACAGGCAGCTTTACTTGTAATGTAAATCAGAATAGGTAACATAGACATATATGTTTTCATTACGTTATTTTTAAATGTTCACAATTTTATTTTGATAAATGAAAAATTAGAAAAGTCGTATCACGGCTGTCGGCTAAAGTTGCTGTGCACGTTCATCTGTGGCTATCGACTATAACCGACGCTCGTACCGAAGTGGTTAACCTGTGTGACCTCAGTTGTTTTCTATGAAGACTCAAGAAAAGGTTATGGCTCCTGATTTACAAGTAACATATGTAAACCAATGTTTTGAAATCAGGGAACCAACTGAAGGCAACCTCTTACCTTCAAGTTTTGAAGGCCAGGTGGCCTGTTGTGAACCTTGTGTTAAAAACCAGACAGAACACACGAATAACTGGAACAAGGGACCCAACAGTTACCAGAATGTTTTCAGAAAGGTGACTTCAGAAGTGCCAAGCTTCAGGAAGACCCAGACTGAGAAGGGATCAGAAAATTTTAAGAAAGTGGTGGTGAACTGCCCCTTTACAGCTTACGCACTGGCCCTGGTGTCAGAAAGTTCGAGTACTGGTTATGTACCAGATATGTCACATTGGACAAGTTCTTTATTGCCTGTGGGACTGAGCTTCCTCATCTAAAAACTAGGGGTAATAATAGTACCTATCTAAGGGGTTGCTGTGAATACTGAAGCAATACATGCCAAATGCTGACACATAGTAAATGCTTGGTGAAAATGTAACTGCCATGAAAATCATGGAAGATGGCACTTACAGGGAGGGTGGGAAAAAGAGTGGAAAGTAGGGGTAGTGGGAACAGAATAGGAGGGAACAAAATGCCTGAGTAGACTTTTCTGTACAGCTCTCTTACTATGTTTCATTACAATAATTGATCACTTCAGTACAAGCATCGACTATAGTCGACAGCCACAGATGAACGCGCACAGTGACTTTAGCCGACAGCCGTGATATGACTTTTCCAATTTTTCATTTATCAAAATAAAATTGTGTTAGCTTGTATGCCTAATGCTAAAAAATAAATAAATAAATAAAATTGTGAACATTTAAAAATAACGTAATGAAAACATATATGTCTATATCACCTATTCTGATTTACAAGTAAAGCTGCCGGTAAAGTAAAACAAGCTTTCAGTGCTTTCAAGCTTGCCTCATCACACAAGAGCAAAACAGATCGGTCGTCAATACACAGCACAAGCTATCGTGTGGACTATGAGTGCTGGCTGTGGGCAAGGTTTCACGGCCGGTGAGCACCGTACCAATGTGGTTAATTAAAACTAGGATATGCGGGCTGAGGGCCTAATTGGAAATATAAACACTACTGAACCAAACTGCATTATAAATGACAGCCACACTGAAAGGGATGAAAGGGAGTAATTTTGGAAAACAGTATTTTGATTGGATACTGTCAGGCTTAGGATGAAAAGATCTGTACACCATGGAGTCTAGCTGGTAAATCTGATATGGGCACATGTTACTACTTATGGTACTAGGGTTGAACAAATTAGTGAATAAAATGTACATAATAAGACCCACATTTCCCACTGTTGAAGAAGTGACAAATAAAAAGGGGAAGGATAGGATGAAACCAGTGGTGTGCATTAGAGATCTCTTTAATATGTATACAGAGAGATAAAGAAATAGATGAAGATGTGTGTGTATGCATGGGTTAGTATGCATGCTTTTATCTCCTAGTTCTGTGCCCTGGGAGAACCTACAAGGAATGACATCCCAATAGCAATTAGAAGAGACCCTGGTTTCTAACAGCATTCTCCAATAACGGAACCAGGGCTCCTTGGAGTAATGGCTGATTCTGGACCAGGACAGGGAAAATATAATGCCAGATGAGCCTGTAAAGTCTTGTGGTGCCAGAAAACAGGGAAGTGGTTGAAAAATGGTGGAGGAATGACAAAAGGACACAGGAGGCGATGGGAAGATTTGGGGCAAGAAGTTCCAGGCAGAGGAAGGCACGTACGTGCAAAATAACTGAACCTTTGACTTATGTTCAGAGCTCTCGGATATTGTCATAATTAAAGGAACAGAAAAAAATGTTAGGAAAGGAAGTTCTACTGAAAAACTACCAAGTTTCAAAGTCACTTCAGTCATTAATCATGACGTCCATTATTAAGTACACCCATATTGAGTAAAGAGAAAACTTGAAACTTAACTTGACAGTGTTTATCAGTAAATGCTTGAAGTTTCAAATAATAATGAAAAACCATTAAAAATCATTACTCTTTCAAGTGGTTTGAAGTGTCTATAAAATTCACATTTAAAAATGGCAGAGCACATATAATCCTTCATGCCAGAAAATTATTTTGTCTGAAGCTGCCCACAGGATCATAAAATAAACCAGCAGAAAAATTTGAAGAGTGTATTAGAGAAACTATGCAACAGTCTTTGAAGATGTTTTCTAGTGCCAGAGGAAGTCAGTTTACATTCTTAAAGATCAGCTGTGACCTTAAAAAGCTGTGTTTAACGTACAAGTCATTTGGAATTATTACCTTCAAAGAGCTTAATGTTTTCCTCCATGTTATCAATGTATTCGCTTTTACATAAGAGCTGGGTGGGCACTATGAGTTAAATGGCAATGAATTAAGAGGGGAGATTTTTGGAATAAAATTGCCTGGGTTCAAATTCCTCATCTGCCACTTACTATCTGTGTGATCCTGGGCAAGTCATGCAACCTCTCTGAACCTGCATGTCTTCATCTGTAAAGTTGGGATGATTAAAGAAAACACAAACTACCTACCTTATTGGGGTTATCATAAGGATTCAAAGGTGCTTAGTACAGTCCATTGCATATAGTAATAACTTGATACATGTTAGCTATTCTTAATAACAAAGGTTTTTTTGCTCAACCTGAAAATATAATTTGCTTCTAATTCTAGGGAATACAGATATTATAAGTTTAATTTTAATTGTTTTTTAACTTCCTATCATTTATCCAACAGATTTATCGAGCAGTACAATACTTCCAGGCACTCTTGTAAGTGCTGAGGATATAGCAGTCAACAAGACTGGCAAGGTCCTGCCCTCCTGGAGGAGGGACAGACAATAAATAAGTAAAGAAATAAAGGAAAAGATTAATTAGGTGGGTGGCTCCACCATGGATGTCTCCAGATAGGCCACACAGACAAGGTCAACTACAGTCTGACCTGTCTCGGAGAAACGACGCCGTGTGATCCTACCCGGAACATGGTAACATAAGCAGTCTTATGAAGTGCTGTCCCAAGCCCATTCGTTACCTCCCTATGCTGTGGCAGCTGCCATGAGGCAGTTTCTCATCTGCCTCCCTCGTTCCAGTAAGGCATGGGATTTTCAACATTATCTCCCCACCCAGGGTAGAGCTGTAGGCTATAAAATCATTTAGCTAGAGCTTAGAGCTGATTCCTCCATGACAGAGTGACCCACTGTTCATATCATTTGTGGAAAATATATAGCATGTTATTAGGTTATACCATTCCAAACTGTCAACTGCCAACTATTTTTTTTTACCTACAAAAAATGGTAATTTCATGTGGTTCAATCTGATAGAAGGCAGTAAGTAAAATCAAGAAAAAGAGAAGGGTAAAGAAGCTCAGCAGTGGGAGGCAGGATACAGTATTAAATAGGACAGCTGGGTGGACCCCAGTGAGGTGACATTTTGGGGGAAGGAGAGGACTCAGGAGTTATTCTGGATATTGCACTCACATGTGGTAACATCTACCTCAAACTTACAGTATTATAAAGACCAAATGAAATAACGGAAGTGAAAATGTTTTGTAAACTAGGAAGTTCTAGGACCATAACAAGTTAACGTTTAGTATTAAAGTTCCTTACTTTGTTGCTGGGAATTACAGCAAATTTTTAAAGGAATAAATATAGCTAGATGGCTTACAAATTGTTGTTCATACCTCACTTGGAGCAGAGAAGCAATTAATATTTTGGCTTAAAACTTTTCTCCTGCTCCCAGAAAACAAAAGGTTTTGTTGTTATTCTTTGGTCAATAAAGCATTATTTACCCAAAGAAGGTAACAGGACATGTCTGAAAACAATCTGTTGAGATGTAGCACAGAATACAATCCACACAATCTGACAGAACTCCAAGAGAAAGCCATGTTACTTTAGCATAGTAAAATGTATTAAAGTATACCATGTATCTGAAATTGAATGTAAGGTAAGAATTTGGTAAGAATTTTGCTAGCTCCCCTAACCCATTCTACCATATAATCATCATTTGCTGTGTTTGGTAAAGATTATAATTAAACTAGCTGCTAAAACTTAACAAACAAGGAAAACATAACCAACAGACAACTATACTAGGTTAATTTGTAGAGAAATAATAGGTATGCATAGTTTCTTTTAAAGAGACAGCCCTTATTTTAAAGATTTTTACACTGAAGAATTCAAAAAGCAGTAAATTTTTTTAAATTTATTAATTTGCATTTAAAAGTAACTGCCAACAAAGATCTCACTGGTAATAATCTGAACAAGTGGGAAAGTACAGTCAACACTACTGAAACACTACTAAAACAATTCTGGGACACAGGTTTATTTAACAGAACAAAACCTCTTAGATGCCGTCACTGATGCAAAAACTGCTTCTTGTCTGAACACATGGTGGTATAATTAACAATATTCAATCACTCCTGTTCTTTCTTTAATATATAAAAAATTAAAATACCAATTAAAAAACTAAAATATCTTCTCTTTAAGTGTTTCTTACAGATACAATTTCAATATTTCACTCAATAGTGGTGTGGTTTAAGAGATTTTTCTCATTCACTAGTTAAACAACAATCCACCCAATGGGAACTGATAGTCTATAGGCTCATAGTGCAAATGAAGAGTTCAGGAATGCAGCAACTGACATTTCTAAAGTACAAAACAGATAAAATTCTTAGAAGGTACATGCAAAAAAGCTCTACTAAGCAGCTGGCCACAGAACTAGAACATTTGATAACTTCACTGGCGATGTCAATAGGACTCCAGATGTTTCTTTCATCTTAGGCTTTGTATTTTGCTTTTCCAGTTTCACTAATGACACAAACATGCTATAAAAGAAAAATCCAGAAATTCACATTAAAAAAGTATATTCTGAAACACGGGTATATACATACATAATGAGTGAGATGTGCACCATCTGGGGGATGGTCATGATGGAGACTCAGACTTGTGGGGGGAAATGGGCATTTATTGAAACCTTAAAATCTGTACCCCCATAATATGCCGAAATAAAAAAAAAAAGTATATTCTGAAACAAAAGGCGAGAACAGCATTTTGTATATAAGAATAGTATTATGCTGCCAGGGTTCTTACTAAACAAATACACATAATACTACTATACTTTAAACTAGTAACTTTTCAGGAGTGTGCCTTTTGAAAACAAAGCACTAGTTTGTCCCATTAGTTTGATTTGTTTCTTGTCAATATGTAATTCTGAAAGACAAATAAGGTAGAGAATTTTAAGCATATCAAAGTAGGGGGCCAAGGTAGTGGTAAAAAAGATGGAGCGAAAACCTGCTTTATATAATGCTGATGGTCTTCCTAAATCTTCCTCAACCAGTTCATAAATGCATCCATAGGACTCCTGCCTCCAGAGTAAGAGGCGGGTATTCGAAGAAGAGTGAATTAAAAGATTTAAACTTGATCATTTATTTCTTACTTATTACCACATTTATCATCTGGATAATAATGGGACAGTTATTGTATATTAAAGCTGTTCAACTATTTCAGTCAGCAAGAAGTATCACCCTAGCCTGGCCAAGTTCCAGTTCTAAGGATGACTGTACTTGACTATGGCTTTATGTGACTAATGAGAACCATCAGTCTATTCAAATTATGAGGTGCTGGAAGGAGAAAACCATTCTTCTCTTTCCTAAATTTTCATGTGGGTTTTGAAAAATCAGAGTGAGAAAAAGAAGCATTACTTACATTCAAATCCCTGAAGTATTCATTATAGTCAAGGGCATATCCTACAACAAACTTGTCTGGAATTTCAAATCCAACAACTAAAAAGAATCATAATTAATCATTTAGATACAGAAAACATCACTTTCAAATCTAATACTTGAAATACGCATTCTCTACAAATATTCTCTACATTTTGTTAGGTTAAAGATGGTTAAATAATTGACAAAAAGTAATTCACTTACAGTCTGGCCTATATCCAACACTTCGAGGGGTCCTTTTCACCAGCAAGCTGTTAATTACAAAACATGACATGTGACACATGGAGAGACTACATAGCATTTCAAAAGAGAACACTACTGTTTCCAAATACTATTTCATCCACACTGAGCATACCACAGTCATTTTTAACATAACACTGGGAAGGGGCAGCAATGAGTTCACACTAGAGACGGGGCCCTTGGTTATCTCCACTTGGAATCTACTGATAGATGGTTCTGAGAGCCGCTCCCTGACTACTCACTTGTCCATCGAAGGGCAGCGAATTAGGATGAATGGGGAGTACCAATGAGCAGAGAGGTAAAGATAGGGCTCTTAGTCCAGAATCCCTAGAAATACAGTCCCTAAGCTGTAAAGGGTGTGGGAGAAGTGAGCATTACCTTTTATCACAACTTTTACTACTTGGCTTACAAAGAGGAACTTTAGGCTAAAAAAAATTAACTAGTGTGCCAAAGGAATCAGTATTTTTTTGAAAGTAAAAGTTGGAGGTGGAGTAAGTCAATTCTACCAAAGATAATTTTTATAACCCAAATGCTACCTGTTGAAAAATTTTCAGCCATTAAAAAAAAGTCGTACGCTGGGTGCGGTGGCTCACGGCCGTAAACCTAGCACTCTGGGAGGCCGAGGCGGGCGGATCACTCGAGGTCAGGAGTTCGAAACCAGCCTGAGCAAGAGCGAGACCCCCATCTCTACTATAAATAGAAAGAAATTAATTGGCCAACTAAAAATATATATAGAAAAAATTAGCCGGGCATGGTGGCACATGCCTGTAGTCCCAGCTACTTGGGAGGCTGAGGCAGGAGGATTGCTTGAGCCCAGGAGTTTGAGGTTGCTGTGAGCTAGGCAGATGACATGGCACTCTAGCCTGGGCAACAGAGTGAGACTCTGTCTCAAAAAAAAAAAAAAAAAGAGCAAAGAAGCAGAAACTCAAATGTTCATCAATAGATAAACAAATAAAATTTGGTATGTTTGTACAATATAATATAATTTAGCCATAGCAAGGGATGAAGTACTAGTACATGCTACAACATAGGTGAATCCTGAAAACATTATTCTAAGTGAAATAAGTCGGATATTGCATGAGTCCATTTATATGAAATGTCTGGAAGAGGCAAATCTGTACAGTCTTTCTGTAGAAAGTATATTAGTGGTTCCTGTAGGCTGGAGGAAGGAAGAATGGCTGCTAATTGGGTACAGGGTTTCTTCTTTTGGAGGTGATGACAACATTCTATAATTAGATAGTGGTGATCAATACACAACTCTGAAAATACTAAACCCCCTGGTTTTAGTTTATATATTTAAACCCACAAAAGAGTGAATTTTATGGTATGTGACTCATATCTCCATAACAAAAGTAATCATTTCCAGCAGCAGCAACATATAACATACTAAAAATATTACTATCCTTCCTACATTCTAAAAGGTACAATTAAGAAGCTGTTTGCTACAATGAGATCCATCACACTATAACCAACAGTGAAACAGTGCTTTGCAGTTAGAGATTTTCAAATACATTATATGTCCTTGAATCACAGTCTCCCTATGAGAACAAGATATAACAATCACCCCCATTTAAAGATAAGTAAATATGTTCAGAGAGTTTAAGTACAGGATGGTTGCTCTGGTTAAGCAGGAGTGAGAAGTCAGACTGAAACCCCAATACCATCCCTTTCTCACTCTACTGCTCTGCCTAGAACCTGAAAACTGAACATGGGAATAGCCTGAGAAGTCATCTAGGCCATTCACTGTCAACAGGAGACACTGCCTCCAAGGTAGCCAAAACTAATACTTGGCAGGGAGGGCAAAGAACTTAGATATTACAATGATTTATGACCCTCCAAAATTCAACCCTACCTGACAATCTTATTCCTTAGTATTTAATTTCTCTCTTTGAATTCTCTTGGGTATCATATGATCAGCACTGACAGAGTTCACAGAAGATACATGACATGTATGTGAGATCAGTGCTACAAAACTATGGTGAACAGATGGCTGTGATTAAAGGACTTTTTCTCATCCACTGCTCTATCATGAAGTTATTGCGAGAGGTACCCTGCGGGTGTTTGTTGGCTGCCTTGTGGATGTTTATTTTTTTATCTTGAGTCTATATTTTATTATTTAATTCCACAAAAGTTATTTGCCCCATCATTAGTTATGTCAAGTACAGTCATGCATTGCTTAACAACAGGGATACATTCTGAGAAATGCATCATTAGGCAATTTCGCCATTGTGCAAACATCATAGACTGTTATTTACACAAACCTAGATAACATAGCCTACTACACACCTAGGCTATATGATATAGCCTATTGCTCCTACTTACAAACCTGTACAGAATTTTACTGTACTGAATACTGTGTGCCACTGTAACACAATGGTATTTGTGTGGATAACCATAAAAAAGGTAAAGTAAAAGTGCGGTATTATCATCTTATAGGACCATTGTCATATACATGTGGTCTATTGCTGACGAGAAACATTGTTATATAAGTACATGACAGTAAAGAAAAAATGTCAACAAATTATCAATGATTATCTAAAAGTTAATTTTCAAGAAATTAAAATTTTTTTAAGAATCTGATTATACTTCTATTATTAGGTATTTATATAAATTGCTAATTTGTATATATTTGATATATTAATATAAGTAAACAAGTCATATTAAAAGTGACTCAGTAAATTAAAAGTACAGGTTTCTCAAAATTTTTGTTTTGAAATATTGATTCACAGGAAGTTACAAAAAAGTGCACAAAGGAGTTCCTACAAGTCCTCTATCCAGTTTCCTCCAATGATAAGATTTCACATACCTATACTATATTATTACAACTAGGACACTGATGTTGGTGAACTGACCTTATCCAGATTTCACCTGCTTTACATATATTCATATGTATGTGTATAGTTCTATGCAATTTTATCGCAAGTGGATTCATGTAACCACTATCACAATCAAGATATTATACTTTGCATCATACAGGCTTCCTTTTGCACCCACGAACCCCTGGCGATTGCTAATCTGTTCTCCAATTCTATAATTTTATCATTTCAAGAATGTTGTATAAATAGAATCATACAGCACATAACTTTTTTTTATTTGTTTTGTTTTTTGAGACAGCGTCTCACTCCACTGCCTTGAGTAGAGTACCATGGCATCACCCTAGCTCACAGCAACCTCAAACTCCTGGGCTCAAGCTACCATCCTGCCTCAGCCTCCCCAGTAGCTGGGATTACAGGTGTACACCACCATGCCTGGCTAATTTTTCTATTTTTAGTAGATACTTTTAGACCAGCTCTTGCTCAGGCTGGTCTCAAACTCCTGAGCTAAAGCAATCTTCCCACCTTGCCCTCCCAGAGTGCTAGCCACCGCACCCGGCCAATACAGCATGTAACTTTTTGATACTGGCTTTTTATCAGCACAATTCCCTTGAGGCTCATCTAGGTTGCTGTGTGTATCAATAGTTTGCTCCTTTTACTGCTGAGTGGTATTCCATGGCATAGGTGTACCACAGTTTAACCATTCATATGTTGAAAGGCATTTTGGTTGCTTCCAGTTTGGGGCTATTACAAATGAAGCTGCAATGAATATTCATGTACAGGTTTTTGTGTGGATATAAGTTTTCACTTCTCTAGGATAAATGCCCAGTAGTATAACTTCTAGGGGTCTTATAGTAGTGCTATGTTTAATTCTAAAAGAAACTGCCAACTTGTATTCTAGAGTGGCCATGCCATTTTACATTCCTATCATTTATCAGCTTTTTTATTTTTTTTTTATTATTTTTTTTTTTTACTTTCACAGACATTAGATAAGTTTATTGATCATCTTGTGATGCTATGCCGGAGTCAGGCTGCCAAGCCACAGTATACAGGGTCAGAATGGCCTGGTTAGCAAGACGGCTGCAGACATGGTTCTCCAGGCCCCTTAGGAAGGAATTTAGAGCAAAAAACGGTGGTCAAAGTTTAGTCCTCAACTTGTTTTCGGCCATGCTCTGAGCCCCCATTCTTTCTGTAGCCTTAACATGGTATAAAAGCATGAACCATCTTCCATTTCTTTGAGGTCTTAGTTCATGAGACTCCCGGGTACTTTAATAAATTTGGATGCCGTTTCTTCTATTAATCTGCCTTTTGTGAGATGATTTTTCAGCAAAACCCCTGAGGGTGAAGGTCAGGTTTTCCCTTGGCACCAACATCTTTTCTCTTTTCCCCCATACCTTAAACTTGCAGGCTTTCCAAATACAGTCAGTTCTGGTTATTCTTGGTAGGTTGGTCCACTAGGACCCCATTATCAGCACCGGAGGCTAATCCTCACAGGCAGTCTCAACACCGGAGGCTAATCCTTACGAGCAGTCTCAGGCAGCCGTAAAGGCAACAACATGCTGGGATGTCAAACAGGCATGCCCGAGAGGTTGGATAGGAAAAATGGCGGCCCCAGCTTTTTTATTTTTTAAGTTTAAAAGTTTAGCCACTCTTAATCCTGCATTGAATAAAAAGAATAACCTTTGTGGTTACCCTTTTCACACATAAAACACAGATACACATATATGACATAATCAGATATAGAATGTATCTGTGGTCTTAAAATTTCATTGTGGAAAGGATTAGGGGAAAAAAGGTTGAGAATTACTGATTTATGCCAACTGCATTACTGAAAAATGGCCAAGTCATTCTTTGAGCATGAACCACCTGCAGCAACACAAAATACCTCTCTATCTCAATTCCACAGCATACTCCAGGAAAAAAAAAACAAAAGAATATCCGGAGTATTTAAACTCTATGCCAGGCCGGGCGCGGTGGCTCACGCCTGTAATCCTAGCACTCTGGGAAGCCGAGGCGGGCGGACTGCTCAAGGTCAGGAGTTCGAAACCAGCCTGAGCAAGAGCGAGACCCCATCTCTATTATAAATAGAAAGAAATTAATTGGACAACTAATATATATAGAAAAATTTAGCTGGGCATGGTGGCGCATGCCTGTAGTCCCAGCTACTCGGGAGGCTGAGGCAGAAGGATTGCTTTAGCCCAGGAGTTTGAGGTTGCTATGAGCTAGGCTGACGCCACGGCACTCACTCTAGCCTGGGCAACAAAGTGAGACTGTGTCACAAAAAAAGAAAAAAAAAAAAAGATGAAGTGCTGAAATACAGTCCCAAGCCGAATATTCATCAAAAAAAAGCTAATGGTGTCTTTTTAGTGGTCCAGTGCTGGTATTATTCACTATAGGTTCATGAAACTGTCAATCTATTACAGCAGATGTCTACTCAAAAAATAAAAATAAATAAATAAATATAAAAAAATAAACTCTATGCCACAGCAGGCTGACATTTAAAACCCTAAAGAGCACATAGAGAAATCAAGTATACTGATTGCTTTAAAGAATACTTCGTGGCCTATAATGCATCACACACTTATATAGTACCTCTCCCAAATCCATTTAACACATTAACTGCCATCTGAGTTGTATTTAACTCACACTAGTTCTGAGCCCAGGGCCTCGTGAAGCATATGTAACTCACATGTCTCTTCACCTTGGGTGCCATGTGAACTATTTTTCACGCTGCATATAACTCACAGAAAACAATAAAAATAACAAATTTTTAATTAAATTAGAAAGTATCATTTTGTTTTTGAAGTTATTATTCTATTTTTGTGATAAAGCACCATGTTCCCAAAGAAAAAAAACATTTCTAGTGTGGCAGTCAATGTGTTAAAAGAAAAACTCAATGACATACACTTGCACCAGCTATTACCAAAAAGTCCCTAAGTGTGAGCTGACTATCACGTTCTGATTTGGAAAAAAGAAGAAAAAAATAAAAGCCCATAAAGATAAACGGCTGACATATGACTCATTAATAGGGTTACTCTGATTCAAAGACACCTGACAGATCCTGTAATCCTTTAAAAGAAGTTTGTAAAAACCTGTTAAGCATTTAGGAATAAAATAAAAGATCATTCACTACCTGGCCCCTAAACAAAAATTGCAGACTGATTAAAGACTTAAAAATAAAAAATGAACTGGGTGTGGTGGTACACTCTTGTAGCCCTAGCTACTCAGGAGGCTGAAGTAGAAGGATCACTTGCATCCAGGAGTTTAAGGCCAGCCTGGGCAACATGGGGAGCCCCTGTCTTTTAAATCAATTAAGAAATAAATTTCAAAAGTATAAAACCCCAATTTTTGATGTTTGTTTGATGTTACTCTACTAAAAACTTAAGGGTGTTTACATGAACTCTGAGCTAGGTTCCCTGGGTTCAAATTTCATTTCTATAGCTTACTAGCACTGTGCCTTTGGGCAATTCTTTATGTCTCAATATCCTTACATGCAAAGCGGGAATAATAATGCTACCTCAGAGTTGTTGGGGGATAAAATCAAAATTAGGAATAAACACAGGTAGAACTACAAAAAGCAAAAGCCAAACAATATAGGTAAGCAGAGGAGGTAAGGTTGACTTAGAAAAAAGGAAGCAGGCATTGTAAAATTTCACCATGGACACAAAACAAGATATAACATGCATCACTCAATTCCAGGAGCTCCAGATCTTCAAGGATCACCCCTTCCATCCCCCTCCTCACCCCACTTTGGGATTCTTAGTCTCAATTTTGCAAGGAGGCCCCAGATTCTCTGCCATGCTACTCAGGACAAGTTGATATAATTAGTATGCTGAAAAACCAAATGTTAATAATATTAGGCAAGGAGGTGGCAGTAACGAAGGGCTTTATTAACACACAACATAATTACTTAAAAGGATTATTTCCTGAGTCTCAGTTGAGATTACATTGCTTTTTGAAAATAAAAGAACAGTTAAGAACATTTATCCTTCCAAAGAAACAATCACTTTATCTTCCTTCAAATGAAGAAAATATTCTATGTCAAAATGTCATACATACCTTGCGACCTTGACCATCTTGGGATTATACTGCTTGACCAAAGAAAGCAAGGTTTGCATTGTTTTGCCAGTGTCAATTATATCCTTTAAAAAAAAGACATTTAAATGATAAATAAAACAAGCATAGCTTTAAATTCAGAGTCACTATATAAACACAAAATACTAAAACCCTCATGTGTAACTGGAATACTGCCATTGTTTTCCGTGCAGTAATTCTCACCAGAATTCACACACAGATACTCTGAAATTTATAAATCATCTGGCCCTCAGCAGTTATACAAGATCACTGTGGCAGGCTGGAGCAAGATTCTCCTGCTAGTTTTGAAGAAGTCAGCTTCCATGTTGTGAGAGGGTCATATGCCAGGACATGAGGACAGCCTTTAAGCAGCTGAGAGTGACCCCTGGCCAGTAGCCAGTGAGAAAAATGGGCCCTCAGTCTTACAATCATAAAAAACTAAATTCTGCAACAACTTGAATGAACTTGGAAGACCATGAGCCCCAGCAGACACCCTTATTCAGCCTAATGAGACCCTAAGCAGAGGACCCAGTTAACCCGTACTTCGGAAGTATAAAAAACATGCATGAAAATGATTAGATATATATATGTAACTTTAAGGATAGTTGTCATACCTCTAAGAATGAAGGGAAAGTAAAAAAATGAGGCTTTAGCTGTATTATGATGTTTAATTTCTTAAAATAATAAGATCTGAAGTAAATATGGCAAAATGTTAATATTTTGTGATGGGTACACAGGTGTTGAGCATATCCTTTTCTGAGTTCAAAATATTTCATAGCTAAAATTAAATGTAGCCAGGTGCGGTGGGCTCACACCTGTAATCCTAGCACTCTGGGAGGCCAAGATGGGAGGATTGCTTGAGCTGAGGAGTTCAAGACCAGGCTGAGCAAATGTGAGACCCCCCTCTCTACTAAAAATAGAAAAATTAGCCAGGCGTGGTGTCACAGGCCTATAGTCCCAGCTACTCGGGAGGCTGAGGCAGGAGGATCACTTGAGTCCAGGAGTTTGAGGTTACTGTGAGTTAGGCTGACACCACGGCACTCTACGCAGGGCAACAGAGTGAGAATCTGTCTCCAAATAAATAAATTAAATAAATAAAATTAAATGAAACGAAATGCAAAAGGTCCAAGTGAGTTGAGGAAGAAAAGGATATCAGGAAAGGCTTTGTGAAAGTGACTTTTGAGCTGGGTCTGAAAGCATTTAAACATGGGATATAGGATGACATTTCAGGTACAAGAAATAAGAAGCAAAGAGTGGAAACAACCTAAGTGCCTATCAACCAATGAATGGATAAAGAAAATAAAGTACAGCAAGTGCCCAACTTACAATGGTTTGACTTATAAGATGTTTGACTTTACAATGGGTTTATTGGGGTATTAAATGCATTTTTCAACTTATGATGAGTTTATCAGGATGCAGCCCCATCATCAAGTTGAGCAACATCTATATATTCATACAGTGAAATACTCCTTAGCAATGGCAAGGAATGAGAACTGACACATTGCACAATATAAATGAACCTTGAAAATTTTGTGCTAAGTGAAAAGAAGCCAGGCACAAAAGCCCACATATTATATGATTCTATAGGCAAATCTTACAGAGAGAACAAGTAGATTATCAGTTTGCTTGGTGCTAGGGAAAGGGGAAATGGGGAACGATGACTAAGGGAATCAGGTTTCTTTGTGAGGCAATGAAAATGTTCTAAAATTGAATGTGGTGATGATCGTATAATGCTGTGAATTTAATATAAACCACTGAAATGTACACTTTAAATGGGTGATGGTACAATATGTGAATTATATCTCAATAAAGCTGTTTTTTAAAAAAGAAATAAGTAGCAAAGAACCAGGGGCAGAAAAATGGAGGTACAGGCTCTAGAAAGCAGTAAAAAGTATAGAGAAAAATGAAAGAAAGTTGCTAGAGAATGAGGCTGGTATTGTATATTGAGGTCACACTGAAAAACTGAAGAATTTAGTCTAAAGACTAAAGGATGGAAGAATAGGGTCTGATTAGGAGGCATGATCACAAGCTGTGCTTTAGAAGTTTGTAGAATTCAGTAAGGCAAAAAGATCTGAATAGGAAGACCACAGATGAAATACACATACACACACACACACACACACACACACATACATACATACACATGCTATTAGACCGTGGTAAGTGATCAGGAAAATTAAAGTACTGAAGAGGGATAGGAAGTTGACAGGGTGGTAACATGAGATTTTGTATAGGATGGTCAAAGAAGACCTTAATGAGAAAGTAACTTATGAATAAATTCAAGGGCTCTTAAAGCTTAGCCTACATCAGAATAACCTGGAGACTTGTTAAAGCATAGCTTACTGGGCCTCATCAAAGCGATTTTGATCCAGTAGGTTCCTGGCTGATACTTTTTGTCTAGTGATCACACTCTGAGAACCACTGAGCTACAAGAAGTAAAGATTTGAATCCTCACTCCAGCTAACCTCAGGAAACTGCTTAACCTCTTTGTGCTTGTTTCTTTAGCACTTAGGATGGTGCCTGGCAAAGTAAGCAATAGATAAATGTGGCTATTATTATATACAAAATGCTTAGGACATAATAGCAAATGGAAAATATTAATATTATTACATAAGACAATATTTAAGATAATTTATATATACATATTAGCTATAATATGTTTATAAAGAAAAAAATTCAAACCTAAAAAAAGTAGGAAATACACAAAAACTTTTCCATTATCACTAAAAACAAATTACTATGTAGTCTTTACAAAAAACTAGTCTTGCTCCTTTAGAACACAAGCCCACCATTAAAACTGATGAAGAGGAATTTCTTAATCTGGTTTACCTTTAGGATGATACACACTGAGTTAGAAAACCATAAACACTATATTAAAAGTAAATGTAGAACTTACTTCAACAATCAAGACATTCTAGAAGAAAAAAAGAAATGAGTATCAGTACAGTGAATCAGACAGTATTTACAATTATAAGTCAAATCACATCATAACAACTCTAAGGAATTATTCAAATTTTTGTTTTTAGATACTTTACTACATCAAACTCCTGCTTTAAACAAGTGAGCCACCTGCTGGGATTTGGAAGTCTTCAATACTGAAATTTTCATTGCAATGGAATTTTTACAAATAAAATTTGACCCATGTATTTTTAAAAAGTTTTCATTACTTAACAGGAGGTCTAATCTTGGGCAAGTCTTGAAATTTCTCTGGGCCTCAGTTTCCCATGTGTAAAATGAGAAACTAAAATTAGTTGGCCTCTTATAGTCTTCTGACTCTAATATTCTAGAGAACTATAATTTGTACAGTAACTCAAAAATCATGTAATTTAACTTACCATATGGAATCCAATTCAAAACCCATTTTCTCATTAGGCTAAAACTGATCTGCATTTCCTGGCTGTGTACATATTCTTGGACTATACTAAAGAAAATACCAGTGCTTCCTCTCACCATAAACTGTCACCCCTCTTTTTACATCTCAGAATTTTATAGCTGGAAGAGTCTTTATTTATTTGTAGTTCTTATCATATTCTATCATATAACTACAGCATCAGAATTTTAAAGTTCTAAGACAGTGGTTACCAAAGTAAGGCACACAAGATCTACTGTGTTGCAATAACAACTACAACCTTTTTTTTTTTTTTTTTTGAGACAGAGTCTCACTCCATTGCCCTGACCAGAGTGCTGTGGCATCATCATAGCTCACAGCAACCTCAAGCTCCTGAATTCAAGTGATCCTCCTGCCTTAGTCTCCCAAGTAGGGTGGACACTATGGGGGTATACCATGATGTCTGGCAATTTTTTCTGTTTTTAGTAGAGACTGGGTCTTGCTCTTGCTCAGGCTGGTCTCAACCTCCTGAGCTCAAGCAATCCTCCTGCCTTGATCTCCCAGAGTGGTAGCATTACAGGTGTGAGCCACTGCATCCGGCCTACAACTTTTTTTAACTTCACCTTGTTTAATCTATATTTTTGTATGTATTTTACAACATATATAATATTACTACTATAATTCATGTATAATTTACAAATATATATATTAGGGGCAAAAAAACCCCCTTTTTATAGCTTAGGCATGCAAATAAAAGTTTGGAGATCACTGCTCTAGGTATTAGAAGTTAAATGTATATAAGCAAGTAAAGCTTCAACCTTTCCATGTCTTGAAGCAGTTTATCACTGCAGGCAAGATCTCTCACAAACCTGAATAGGACCAAGTACAGAATGAAGTAAGGCTAGCCCATACCTTTTGGCAAACAATTTACACTACTTATCTCACTCTGACCCATCCTCAGTGAAGCAGCTACTATAGACAACTACAGCCTATTGGTAGCCTATTTTATAAGCAGGAAACAATTACTTTGTATTCAAAGTGGAGCTCGGGAAAAGGAGAGAATATAAAACAGAAAAAATCAGAATAACTCAAAGGCATATAGCAAAAAGCATAACATAATTACATTTTTTTCAATTTATTATTATTATTTTTTAGAGATAGAGTCTTGCTATATTGCCCAGGCTGGTCTTGAACTCCTGGCCTCAAACAATTCTCCTGCCTTAGCCTCCCAAAGTGCTGGGATTACAGGCATGAGCCACCATGCCTAGCCCATTTTTACAATTTTTACGAGGCCCCATACAATGAAAAAAAGCCACATAACTGTTCAAATGAATCCCAGTATAGTGCAAGGAGTGGATACTAGAGTTAGACATTTCTTGATCCAAACTGTGGTTCTGCCATCTAACAGATGTATGACTTTGAGTTTCAGCTTCCTGATCTACAGAATAGGGATGATAATATCTTCTTCATAGGGCAACCATGAGAATTAAATGAAATATAATAATATGACAATTGATGCTTAAGAAGTTAGTTCCTGGCCGGGCGCTGGTGGCTCACGCCTGTAATCCTAGCACTCTGGGGGGCTGAGGCGGGCGGATTGTTTGAGTTCAGGAGTTCGAAACCAACCTGAACGAGAGCAAGACCCCATCTCTACTATAAATAGAAAGAAATTAATTGGACAACTAATATATATAGAAAAAATTAGCCGGGCATGGTGGCACATGCCTGTAGTCCCAGCTACTTGGGAGGCTGAGGCAGAAGGATTGCTTTAGCCCAGGAGTTTGAGGTTGCTGTGAGCTAGGCTGACATCACGGCACTCACTCTAGCCTGGGCAACCAAGTGAGACTCTGTCTCAAAAAAAAAAAAAAAAAAAAAGTTAGTTCCCTTCCTTTCCTTATATCACAACTAATTGTCTCTTCAAAAGACACTGCAATTTAAATCTTTAGCAAAACTGAATATAATCAACTAATGGATCAATAATTGTTTTACCGCCTATATGTGGTTCTTTCTCAACATTTACTGTACCCTAGCTAGCATATCCAAAGGATAACATATTCCTACCAGTAATTGTGGATCAATGCAATTGTGATTTGCACAATGGGTTGGAGTTATAGTTTGAAAAACAGCATTGAATTATGAGACAGAGAAACTGAATTGTAGTCTTGGCTCTAACGCTAAGTAGCTGCATGACCTTGATTAAGTCATAACCACAGACCTTCTTAGCAAAAGACAGTTTACACAAACAAAAGTCCAGAGAGATTAAATATTTGTCTAACACAAAACTGTAGTATCTAGAGTATAATCCTAATACTGTTTTTAAAATAAAACAATGAGAACTGCTACAACTGTTGACAGTTTATTTTATGTCAAGTAGCTATATCCCTACTTAATAAATGAAAAAAATGAGGCTCACAGGTCAAATGACTTGCCTAAAGTCATAAAAAAAATAGCCAAGCAGTGGTGGAATATGGATTTGAACAGAAGTGTATACAGGATCCAAAGCCCATATTTTCAAGTACTAACTGAAGAAAAAAAATTATATGCATATGTATCTGCACACACATAAAATAAATATCCCCAAAAGACAAAATGTAACAAAGTTCAAGTAATTCCATAATCTCACCACCAAGAAATAACTTCAATTTATATTTATTGATTTTTCTACAAAAAAGTGCTTTACTGTGACTATCATGGAAAAAAAAGTTATTTTAGAAACAAATACCTATTTAAGATCACACAGCTACATATATAGTAGGAGAAGACATTAAGTGGGACAGACGAGGTCAAACTAAATCACAGGAAGCCTTGAAGGCTAGGTCCCTTCTAGTACTACAAACTGATTATAGGCATCTAATGGCTTCTAAATACAGACAAAGCATGCTGAAAGCAAAGGAGGACAGGTCTGGCAGTGGTACACAGAATGGACAGGAGGAGGAAAGAGTCAATAGAGTCTATTTTCTCCTCTGAAGTTTTCAAAAGATACTGAGGATAACAATATTAGTTTGGCATGACCCTGATAAGGGACCACAGAATTTCACACAACTTTTATATGATAATGCTTTCTTATACTTAGTTAAGTAAGATGTGAATACTAAAATCTAAAAGCTAGAGGAAGAAAAGCGCTTTGGAGTCAAACGTACCTGCATTCAAATTCAAGCTCTACTGAACCCACCTTCAGCCACTACACAATACTGCCTTGCTATCTTATAAGAAACTATGTATGAGTCTATTTTTTAAAACAAAGCTATCTTTTTCCCCATGTATATATTTTTAAGGATTCCAAATTAGACTCCCACAGAGGTAGACAGCAATACTTGGCAATATGGACTTTTAAGTTTAATACTGGATTCTGCTTTTTAAGTTTAATATTGGATTTGCTATATGACCAAGGAAAAATAATTAACCTAGATTGTTTCCAAGGGTTAAATAATCACTGCTTAGTTATACTATCTAAACTGTCTCTTAGTGATTGATTGAAAGCACAGTGTTACTAATTGAGTCTTGGTATGAAATGCTCTTTTCTTCCCCTTTGAGATACATACCTTTCCAGTTAAAGTTGAGAGATCATCTCCACCAATCACTTTTATGTCCCCTGTTGACTGGTCATTCTAGTATAAAACAAACAAACAAACATACTATGTATATGTACATCCTTATGTACACACACTTCAAATTATCCAATGGGAACTAGAAGATTTAAAGTTAGCTATCTAAAGTCCATAGCATGATATTCTAAATGGTATGAATTACAAGAATTGTGTTTCCAGAAATAAATGACATGGTAACTTTCAGTAGAGATTAGTAAAAATTAAAAAGTCCAAATTGGTCACTACTGATTAAACGTTTTTAAGAGTTCTAAAAATAGTGCACACCCATTTTTATGTGGGCAGTATTATAACAGCCACTCATCTTCACTCATGGTGACTTCTGAATCCTGAGGGAAGTTATTAGCAAGACAGGTGTCTGGTTCTGGCCCTGCACCATTTCCATGAGTCAAGCAAGTTGTAGGGGCTGGTCTATATCACATCTAACCCCAACGATATGTTCCTCAAAAGTCTAGCCCAGGGCCAGGTAATCTTCAGCATTGTTTGGGAAACCAGGTCTGATTAGTAGTCCTTTAATGCACACCTCTTAGGCTCCCACTTTTCTGCTATCACAGAATCCAGGAGAAACCCTTACCGGAGTTTCCACAGGGAATGCTCAATACCCACTGTATGGTGGTGATAATGACTATAACTTGGCTGTGCTGGATTCAAGACAGAAAATTGGTGTGAAAGAGCAGGTGAACAAAAGAGTTATAGCAATCACAACAGTATAGTACCAGCACAGTAACTGAAAAAGAGATCAAGGAACAAAGGAGAGCCCAGAAACAGACCTAGAAATATATGAGGATTTAGTATATAACAAAGATGGCATTTCAAGTCAGTAAGGAAAAGATGAATTATTCAATAAATGATGTTTGGTCAACTAGTTATCCATTTGGAGAAAAATTAAAGCATGGTCCCTACCTCATAGCATACATAAAAATTAATTCCAGATAGATTAAAATCTAAATGTAAAAAATAAAGCCATAAATAAACTGAATGAAAATATCAGAGAATTTTTTTTCACATTCTTAGGGTAAAAACCTAAGCATGACATAAACTCAAACCGAAAGAAAAGATCTATAACAAATATTCCTATTAAACATTGGGCTCCAACAATAAGAACCCATAGGAAAATGGGGAATGAACACAAATAGGCAATTTATAGAAGAGAAACCCATAATATGCAAAATAATACCTATCTGAAAAATAAATACTAAAACAATGTGATTCTACTGTTCACCCATCCACATGGCAAAACTTAAGCCTGATTTGTTGAAGGGAAACAAGCACTCCTGTTGGTGAGAGTATAAACTGGTAGAGCCTCTTCTGAAAATGAGATAGCAATACCTATTAAAACTGTAAACATGCATGCCATTTCACCCAGCAATCCCACTTCCAGAAATCAATACTACAAAAACACTTACAAGTATGCAAAGGTACATTCAAGAATGTTCACTGCATCAACTGTTCACAAAAAACCCAATATGCCCATTAACAGGGAACTATTTAAATTAATCAAGTTCACTCACATAATGTAATATCATGCAGCTATTAAAAAGAATCTAATCTAATGCATGCCAACATGAAATGCTTATTAAAAACACCAACCTCTTTTTCACCCAAAAGTTGGGGAAAAAAAAGAAAAGAAAAAATATGAAAAAAAATTGTAAAATAAAAAACACCAACCAGTATAACAATATGTTACCTATGAAACCACTTTTATTCGGCATTTTGAAAAATTTAGAATAGCAATTACCTCTGAGTAGTGAGAATTGGGATAATGTGACTTTTTACTTTCACATATTTTGATTTTTCTGATGTTTTTACATACATGTCCAATTTTAGGGAATGTTACTTATGAAAAATACAACTGGGCCAATATTATTCAGTGTTGCAAACTAAATATATAACTTATCAAAAACCCTTGCACATTACTGCTCATCTTAGGGAAATTACAAACACCCCTTATTCTAACTAATTTAAAACCCAGCATTTCAAATGTACAGAATTGATTAACAGAAAAAAGATACTTCAAATGAGAGTGAATCATGGTAAATGAGTTACACTGTAAATCTTGTTAAACACTGACATCTTCTGTAAAAACCTGGTATTACATTCTGACTCCAGTTGATCTTTTTTACAGAGGGAGAGGAGTAAATACCTGAGAACTAAAAAGTGTGGAGTCATATACACCTACTTGGGAAAACAGCCATAATCCAAAGGCTATGTGTGATAGGGCAATAGACAAGAGAACTCTAAGCACCAAGACACTGTTGCTCTAGTAGTAGCATCCAAATCTTTGCATTCCTGTTTGTATGAAGGTTTATAGCTTAAGTCTCTTCCAAGGCTTTTTTTTCATGGAAATAGCCACCTTTTAAATGGAGGCTAATAAAGAAGATTCATTTAAGAGTTAATGGTATAGTCTACTGTGCTGGAATACAGGTATAAGTGCCCAAACGGTACACAAATGGCATCCATGGATAAATTACCTCACCCAGGTGGCCAGAGGAACTGTATGAACCTCCCTCCCTTCCTTCCTGTCCATAGTATCCCTTTACTGAGCGCTTCTTACATGGTTCATCTTTAATTATGGTGAAGTCTGGGGATAAAAGGACTGGCATGGGTGAGGGGAGAGCCCCCTCCACAGTTGTTCTGCCCTCTCCTCTACCATCCTATCTCCTTACTCATTTCAGCCAGAGTCCAGTTTGTCCTTAATTCAGAGTGTCACTGTCAACTACAAAAAATTCCCAGAGAAGCTCTTTGGGTCTACAAATACATACCATTACCATTTATGTTTCTATTCTGTCTACCTTGCCAGTCTAGGTAAAAAACAAGAAGGATAATAGGAAAGAACTTTGTTTATGCCTATTTGTCCATCCTTAGGAATTCTGAAAACCTCTATTGTAATCCTAGCACTCTGGGAGGATGCGACAAGCAGATCATTTGTGCTCAGGAGTTCGAGACCAGCCTGAGCAAAAGCAAGACCCTGTCTCTACTAAAAACAGAAAGAACTTATCTGGACAACTAAAATATATATATATATATAAAATTAGCTGGGCATGGTGGCACATGCCTGTAGTCCCATCTACTCAGGAGGCTGAGGCAGAAGGGTCACTTGAGCCCAGGAGTTTGAGGTTGCTGTGAGCTCGGCTGACGTCATGGCACTCTAGCCCGGGCAACAGAGTGAGACTCTGTCTCAAAAAGAAAAAAAAGAAAAAAAAAAAAAAGAAAGAAAAAGAAAACCTCTAGGTACAAATAAGAACTGCAGCTTGGTATAGGAAAAGAGGAAAAGCTGTATAAGAATACATAATTAATGGGCTGGAAAAGAACTGCTTGGAATAAACAGGCAGGTTGACATTGTAAGAAGAGAGGCCAATCACCAAGGCTGGATTCACAAGAGGGCATGACTAAGGTAGAAGTCCTGGCTCTACATTCCCTTAGCAGTTAAGCACTAATAGCTTGCTTTTTGCAATGAACTTCAGATCATTCTTTAAAGACTCTAGAATGGAGTTTCTTATTGGGAAACAGTCATTCTCTTGATTTTCAGCTAGGCCCAAGTCGACCATACTAATCATATTTTCTTTTCACATCATAATCTCGCAACCATTCCCTGTCCTTTGCCTTTCTACACCCTGATCAAATACCAAGACAAGTGAAAATATTAGAGTCATATATTTTTAGAGGTAGACTGTACCTCAGATGAAAATGAAAAATGGTAGATATTCCATTTTCTAAAATACATGCAGAGAAAAAGTTAAGTCTGGAAGGATATATAAATACAGGTAATAATTTATTTACCTGTATTTTACGAATTCCTTTAAATCAGGAGTCCTCAAACTTTTTAAACAGGGGGCCAGTTCACTGTCCCTCAGACCATTGCAGGGCTGACTATAGTTTAAAAAAAACTATGAACAACGGGCGTGTGGCTCACGCCTGTAATCTTAGCACTCTTGGAGGCTGAGGCGGCGGATTGCTCAAGGTCAGGAGTTCGAAACCAGCCTGAGCGAGACCCCGTCTCTACCAAAATAGAAATAAATTAATTGACCAACTAAAAATATATATACAAAAATTAGCCGGGCGTGTGTCGCATGCCTGTAGTCCCAGCTACTCGGGAGGCTGAGGCAGGAGGATCGCTTGAGCCAGGAGTTTAGGTTGCTGTGAGCTAGGCTGATCCACGGCACTCACTCTAGCCTGGGCAAAAAGTGAGACTCTGTCTCAAAAAAAAAAAAAAAAAAAAAAACTATGAACAAATTCCTATGCACACTGCACATATCTTGTTTTGAAGTTAAAAAACAAACAGGCAAAGACACTCGCATGTGGCCTGCGGGCCGTATTTGGGGATGCCTGCTTTAAATGAACACACTGCCTTTTAAAAAAATAAATAAAATATTATCAGTTAAAAAATGATGCTGATCGGCTGGGCATGGTGGCTCACGCCTGTAATCCTAGCACTCTGGGAGGCTGAGGCGGGCAGATTGCTCGAGGTCAGGAGTTCGAAACCAGCCTGAGCAAGAGCAAGACCCTGTCTCTATTAAAAATAGAAAGAAATTAATTGGCCAACTAAAAATATATAGAAAAAATTAGCGGCATGGTGGCACATGCCTGTAGTCCCAGCTACTAGGGAGGCTGAGGCAGAAGGATTGCTTGAGCCCAGGAGTTTGAGGTTGCTGTGAGCTAGGCTGATGTCACAGCACTCTAGCCTGGGCAACAAAGCGAGACTCTGTCTGAAAAAAAAAATGATGCTGATAGAGCAGGGCTCTTTACAGATCATCTAGTTCTGCCCTGTCCAGTACAGTAGCCACTAGCCACATGTTGCAATTTAAATTACTTAAATATTCAGTTCCTGTGTTGCACAAGATATATTTCAAGTGCTTAACAGCCACATGTGGCTAGTGACTCTGTACCAGACAGCATAGACATAAAACATTTCTGTAATCATAGAAAGTTTCACTGAACAGCACTGCTCTGATTAAATCAAAGATACCATTTAGCATGGCATAGTAACAGAAAAGATTGAAAAGGTAGTGCTGATACTCAAAAACTCAATATTTTCAAATACATTATTTTCAAACCTTCAGAAATTACTGCGTCACATCTTCATGCTCTCTCTATATATATATATTCGATTTTTCTTATGTTTTTACATACATGTCCAATTTTAGGGAATGTTATGTATTTTATATATATATATATATACACACATAGAGATATAGATAGGTTTACAGAAGATATGCTCTAGATAATCTAGTGTCAACATCAAAGTGGTATACCTACATTTAACTTTATTCTGGAAAGAAAAAGCATACTTCAAAGAAAATGACTAAATACATACAGAGAAAAAGGTTAAGCTGAAAGCTACTAACTTCTTATAAGTGTCTCTTATAAAATACACAAAATAAGAGTAAAAAGATAAAGAAAAGACACAACTAGGGGGCAGGGTGAGGAAATGGGGAGATATAGGTCTGTAGACACAAAATAGCAAATACGTAGGATAAACAAGTCTAGATCCAATGTACAACACGAGGACTATAGTTGTACTGTATTTGGGACTCGTGCTAAATGAGATTTTAGCTGCTCTTACCACCAAAACAAAACAAAAAAAAATGGGCAACTATATGAGCTGATAGATTTGTGTGCTTGAAAGAATGAGGATGTACCTTCACAATAAAATAAAACAAGTGTCAAAGTGAAATGTCACAGGTGTCAACTGTCAAACTTAGTACTTAAGGAAATTGGACATTTCATAAAACAAGTGTCAAAGTGAAATGTCACAGGTGTCAACCGTCAAACTTAGTACTTAAGGAAATTGGACATTTCATACTTAATAACCTAGTAAAAGTCATTAGAATCCAAGAAGGGGGTTGGGTGAGAGGGAGTGAGGGGTAAAAACTGACCCATTGGGTAAAATGTACACTATTCTGGTGATAGACACACTAAAAGCCTCAACTTAAACCTTATACAAGGTATTTATGTAATAAAAACATTTGTACCCCCCTTAACATTTAAGACAGAAGAACTATAGGAGAAAAAATTAACAATTCAAAATAATAAAATATTACAAACAAAAAGTGGTAGTGATATTTGGGATAACTTAGATCAGCATGTAAAATTCATACTAGCATCAATGTTACTGATACTGCAAACAATTTGAAATTTCCATTTTATGGTTTTATCAAATTAAGCTACCTAGTTTTTTATGAGCACATGTGAATATCTTCCATGACAAGCTGTTGAATTATTAAATAGGGTAGAAATGTTACTTCAAATCAACAGATAGCCTAGCACTCTGGGAGGCCGAGGCAGGTGGATTGCTCGAGGTCATCAGTTCAAAATCAGCCTGAGTAAGAGCGACCCCGTCTCTACTATAAATAGTAAGAAATTAATTGGCCAACTAATATATATAGAAAAAATTAGCCGGGCATGGTGGTGCATGCCTGTAGTCCCAGCTACTCGGGAGGCTGAGGCAGTAGGATTGCTTGAGCCCAGCAGTTTGAGGTTACTGTGAGCTAGGCTGACGCCATGGCACTCACTCTAGCCTGGGCAACAAAGACTTTGTCTCAAAAAAAAAAAAAATCAACAGATAGTATTCTGGAGCGGTTTCTTAATTTCTACTGCTTAATAGTAAATCTACACAGAATTTCATATAAAATATAACATTTTTTTCTACGTGAAACTAATCTAAAAACATCCTTTGCTTATGTTTAAGATTTCATGCTTTTAATCAATCGAGGAGTTCAGCTTAATAATCCTCTAAGATCTAACACTTACCACTGTTGGTTAGTGTCTGTTACCAAAAAAAAAAAAGAAAAACAAAAGAAAAGAAAAAAACAAACAACAACAAAAAATAATAAGATCTAACACTAACAGGAAAAAAACCTAAAGTAGAAAATGGAATTAAAATGTCAAAGTGTTTCTACCACTCCAAATTGCTCTTATAATTATAAAATACTTTTAGAAAGAAAATATTAAAGTCCCTGTCTTTTTTTTTTTTTTTTGCTTGTTTCTGTTTTTCAAAGAAAGAACATTCTGTGCAAATCCCTAGAGATGAGTCATAAAGTAACAAGTCTGATTAAGATTGATTTGCGGGGTGAGGGGATTGAGAGGGAAGCTACAGAAGACCCAAAAGATAAATCACACCATGTACTGTAAGTACATGTTTTGCTGCATTACAGGCTGGCCAGCTATAATACCAGCAGCTGTACTGACCCGAATTAAATCCTAGTGTAAACTACCAATCAAGAAATCAAGCACTTCTACTGAGCAAAAATCGCAATTTTATATTTAAATAAGCCTTTAATTCAAGTATGACTTTGACAAGTTAAAAGGAACTTATAAGTAGGAAGTAATGTTATGACACATGGGCATAAAGGGTTTTAATGGGATAGGGAAAATGTCTATAATACTTAAATAGTTGCCCAATCACCCATAGGACTGATGAAAACATGGAAAAGGTCAAAGACTTGGGTCATTCAAAGAGATGATTAATGGAGAGAATGAAAGTTTGAAGTTAAATGTAGATAAGTGGTCTTATTCTCAATAAAAATGTGAACATAAGGTAAGTTTCTACCAAGATGAATTGCAACAATGATTCATGAAACAGCAATGACACTGGACATTTATTCTAATCTTCAAAGAAGCTATGAGAAATTCCTATTTTAAAGGAAAAGAATAAGTCATAGGAAATACCATCCTGACATGAAACCAGAAACAAAGTAATAGTCTGAACTAATAAAAATAAAATGTTCACAAGATCAAAGAAATTGTGGATTAAATTCACTTGTAAAGATCATACTGATTTAGTTTTATCCCAGAGTGTCAATATTCTGATGCATTTCAGATTCTGTGACACGGGCAGAGTGACTGTGGGTCAATCGTGGTTTCTTCAATGTGTGCTTTCTGGGAAACAAGTATTGACCCACATTTATCACACCTATCTCCAAATGACTTATAACCCTATCCCAACCAATCTAGCTCAAGAAAGGATATTTGCCACCAAAAAGTATATATAGTCAAAAAAGCAACCCAAATCCCAACGTCAATTCCTAAAAGGAGTTTAAAGATACCTGTAAAATAAGTATATAGCCTTCAAGGTGACTAGTTTGGAAAAGACAATATTCACTTTGATGTAAAATACTACTGAATATGTTTTTAAAAATCACACTGTAAACAAGTGAAATGAATGTGTAAAAAGTTCACAGAGCTTCAAAGAAAGCATAAGAAAACCTATAGTTGCTATATTTTCTTAAAAAGAAATCATATATTAACATACGTACACAGTAGCTCTTCAGTCTGATAAAATCTACAGTCATAGGAATGGATCTATCACTATTTCTATTCAATGCTTTGATGTAATCCAGCAGGTCAGCGAAAAATTTATAGCCCCCCTTGAGCACACAGAGGGCTACAATGTGATGGCCTCCCATCTCCTTCATCACATCTCGAGCAAGTCGTTCAGTCCTACAGAAATAAAATCAGGAATTTAATAGAAATTTTTGTACATTTAAACTTTATAATAAACATCTCTTAAGCATTAAACTTCCACAAGCACACCCTATGCCCCCATGAAGCTTTGCTTCATAAAGCAAAAAAATTGATACTTTCAAAAAACCAAGTATACCATAACATCTATCATAAATTTTAAAAATACAAATAAAAACAAGATAACCATTTTCACCTATTAGACTGGCAAACTCTGAGCAAATGAGATTTCTCTGATAATATCAACATTGGAAGAGACTGTGAAGAAAAGGGCACTCTCATATACCTCTGGGAGTATAAAATGATACAACTTTTTGGAGGATAATTTGGCAGTAACGAAACATTCAATAAACACCTTCCTTGACCCAGAATTTCTACTTGGATAAGGTTGAACAAGTGCTAAAATATGTGTAAAAGGATGTTCCCTCTAGTATAGTCTATAAGAGTGAAATGATGGAGACATCTTGAGTGTTCATCAATAATGGACTGGTTAAATCAGTTATGGTATATCTATAAAGTGGAATGCCATGCAACTTTTAAAATATGAAATAGCTCTAGATGCACTAATATAAAAAAAGTCCAATATATTTTTTTTTTGAGACAGGGTCTGGCTATGTCGCACCAGCTAGAGTGCAATGGTGTCATCACAGTTCATACTGCAACCTCAAACTCCTGGGGTCAAGCAATCCTCCTGTCTCAGCCTCCTGAGTAGCTGGGACAACAGGCATGCACCACCACGCCCAGCTAATTTTTCTATTTCTTGTAGAGACAGGGTCTTGCTCTGGCTCAGGCTGGTCCCAAACTCCTGACCTCAAGCAATCTCCCACCTCAGCCTCTCAAAGTGCTAGGATTGCAGGCATGAGCCACTGAGCCCAGTCTCCAATAAATTTCAAAACTATATGATAGTATATATCCATGCATTAAAAATATATGTGTATATATACACATTTGCATAGCTAATGCTTAGGGAAAGAATGTGTAGAGGAGGCTGAAAGAAGTGAAATTTACTCTTCCCATTTGTAGCCTCCATAGTTAGAAATGTTTTACAACACAAAAATATTGATAATTTTAAAATAAAAAAGAATAGCTAGACACACAAGGCAAGCATTCATTCATACACTAAGTGAGGTTTTTCAGTGTAATTCATTTGAGGGGAAATTTTCAAGCTAGATGTGCATAATAATTAAAACCTGACCTTGCCCAGACCATTACCCTGTTCAGGACTGAGAAATCAAAGACTCTATGACTAGAATTATTTTTTCCAATCTCCCTTTAATATTTACTTTGTTCTACTCCCTACAGATTTCCACTATACCGTGAATTATACCAGGTAATTAGTAAGGTCCCCTCTTTTTTTTTTTTTTAACAAAGAGGACTTTAAAAATAGAAAGCATCTATTATTTAGCAAGTTGGCCTACTTTATGTTCAAATATCAGCTACCCAAAACAGTTGTGGATGTTTGAAATTAATATCTAAAAAAACTTCAATTCAAGATCTTACTAACCTGTCCATAATTAGTCCATGAGGAATAAACACCTTTTCCAAATCCTCGGCATAATGATTAGGTATGCAAAATAAATCTAGGTCATAACCTGGTTCATCATCACTAATCTGAAAAAGAAATATAGCTGTTTCAATGAGAGCATTACAGGATACAAACATTTGTCTGGATTTAGATATTTCAAAAACTCTTCATCTATCAGAGAAATTTAAGTATGAGATGATATCAAGAACTGCTAACTTTGTAGGTATAATGATAAATTATAGTTATATAAGAAAATAACCATGTCTTAGTCAAGAATGTAGAAGTAAAATGTTATGTGCTATTTCCTTTAGGTCTTAAAGACAAAGAAAAATTTTAAAGAGCTAAGACAAATGTGGCAAAATCTTGATAATATTCTAAACATAGGTGATGAGTATATCACCTATGATTCATTACACTGTTCAATCCATTTCTGAGTATATTTGAAAATTAAGCAAAAAAATTTAATACACCGTAGTCTAAAAAGTTAAAATATCACACTGAACAAGAAAAAGTGCTGTCCTCCATCCCAAATCCAAATAACTTCTCTCATCTCACAGCAGGGGGAAAAGAATCACCCAAAAAAGCTAAGTGATATTTTGAAAACCCAAACTCTTAGAAGTGTGAGATTGTTACAGTCAACTTGTGGAGTTAGACACACTAGATACTAGATACTCCAAGGTTGTTCAAATGGGACCACATATTGTTTGTCTTGATATGCCTAGCTTCTGGCATACAAAATATTTAATAACACTGATGATATGGTACCTCTGGTGGTAAAATGTACTATGATTACAGCTTTATAAATATTATATAAGTATGTATACACACAGATAAAAAGACTGTAGCAAAATCATAAAAGCTATTATCTTTCAAAGGGGAGTTATAGCAATTTTATTTAGTTCTTTATTTTTTGCTCTATACTCCAAATTTTCTTCACTGAGTATATATAACTTTCTTAAAATATAGTCTTTCATATAAACTATCTTTGGCACTATATGTTTTTATATATACATATAAAAAAGCATGGGGAAATTTTAAAAGATACATTAAATTAAAACAAAATATACTCACAAAAAATCAAAATACAAAAATATAAAAGAGGGTGAAGGAAGAAAGGGGGAGAAATGCATAAATGGTGGGTAAGGAGAAATATACCAAATGATGGTAAATAGGGACTTGCCATTTTCTACACTTTTTTTTTTTTTTTTTTGAGACAGAGTCTCACTTTGTTGTCCAGGCTAGAGTGAGTGCCGTGGCGTCAGCCTAGCTCACAGCAACCTCAAACTCCTGGGCTCGAGTGATCCTTCTGCCTCAGCCTCCCGAGTAGCTGGGACTACAGGCATGTGCCACTATGCCCGGCTAATTTTTTATATATATATATCAGTTGGGCAATTAATTTCTTTCTGTTTATAGTAGAGACGGGGTCTCGCTCTTGCTCAGGCTGGTTTTGAACTCCTGACCTTGAGCAATCCGCCCGCCTCGGCCTCCCAAGAGCTAGGATTACAGGCGTGAGCCACAGCGCCCGGCCCATTTTCTACACTTTAATGTTTGTTTTTTTCACTGTCATTAAAAATGACTAATTTCCAGTCACCACTATATTCAAAGTTTATTCAGAGGAATAAACCAGAAAGAATTGTAACACTCTATCTCACATGATATTCAAGATTAAATTACCTTTCAAACCTCATTCGAGAAGCTGATTATATAAGCTTCGGCAATTTTCAAGAAATACTAGTCAAATCATAATTAAATCTCAGTGTATCAGTTAACACCTATTGAGCACCTCCGCTTTCAGTTGGCATTGTATTAGTGCTTAGAGACAAGCAGTTTGACTTTTAATAAATTTCAAAAATATATATTTAAGATTTATAACATTACTCACAGAATTCAATTATATTTTGAGGTTGAAAAATTTGAGGTCTGTGTTGTCTCTCTTCCAGTCCCAAAAGGTCAGAATTTATTTTGAGTTCTCAGACTTTGGTGGAAATCTATTTATTGTCAGGTTGGCCCTTAATACCTGTGTACTACTTCAACTCCTATGCACATGGGCAGGAGGCTGGTGATGAACATTTTCAGGTAAATGGACTGGAACATGACCCCAGGCATTGCCAGGTAGGGGCATGGTGCTCTGCAGTGTGGGCAGAAGTCAATACTGGCTTGCTTTTCATTAAACATGCATTACTTTCATAAACAGGAAAAAAATCCATTCTTGGGGGGAAAAGATTATGCCAGATCCACTAAGATTAATTGCTAATATATCTACTAAACCTTTATATAATGTTTATATCAGAACACATTTACTACAAAAAGAATGGAAATGGGATATTTATGTCACCTATAGGAGGATTCCAAGAATATTTTTCTAAGTGAGTATTGCTTTTATAAATTTTATGGACTGAAATTTAGTTCAAGTTTGGGAGAAAAAAGACAGACCTTGCTAGATTTTTATAAGATGACATAATACATATTCATATCAGGCTCATCTGAATATATCTGCTATCATCTGACAAGAATAAAAGTGTACTATTTCATAGTGCTTTAAAATCAATAATATCCAGAGTGCCAAAATGACTTTCCTGAAGCTTATTCACCCCCTTCCTCCCAGTTACTCACTGCTTCTGCCATCAGCACAAATGAGGACCCAGGACTCTTTGAAATACATATTGTAAAGACTACTGTAACTGTCAAAATGGCTCAGTGCCTCGCTACAGGTTCCACAGGTAACCTAAAATGTCAAAAAGTCTTGTTTTTTTCAAAGAAAGCCAATGTGAATTCTGCCCAGGGTTCATTCCAGACATGCAGTTTAAGAATACGGACAGATCAGCAGTGATATGCTAAAAAATAGGAATTCTATCTCTGTCATCATACCAAATTGATTTCCAACCAAAACAGATTTACATATCACATTTATGTCAAAGAGTTGGTTTGTTATTTTTTAATTGAATCCTAAATTTGGTTTGTTTTTTTTTTGAGATAGGGTCTTACTGTGTTGCCCAGGCTGTGTCATCATCATAGCTCACTGCAACCTCAAACTCTTAGGCTCAAACCATCCTCCTGCCTCAGTTTCGCGAGGAGTTGGGAACTGCTGGCATATACCACCATGTCCAGCTAATTTTTCAAAATTTTTTGTAGAGGCCAGGTGCAGTGGCTCATGCCTGTAATCCAAGCACTTTGGCAGGCTGAGGTGGGAAGATCGCTTGAGGACAGGAATTCAAGACCAACCTGAGCAAGAGCAAGACCCTATCTCTACAAAAAAATACAAAAGTGGGGTCTCATGGTTGCCCAGGCTGGTCTCCAACTCCTGAGCTCAAGAAATCCTCCCACCTCAGCCTCCCAAAGTGCTAGGATTACAGGCGTGAGCCACCTTGCCTGGCCAAAAGATTCATTTATGGTTTATTAATTCAAGCATTAAAATGTCAACATAACTTTTCCCAAAAGGCAAAAAACACAAAAATTCATAAAACTTACATCACCTGAGGTACTTTAGGCATGAATTCACAACTTTGTTAGAATTCACTATATATACATGGGGTATAATTACAGGGGTCCTGATTTAATAAATATATAATTGGCTATGCATAGATAGTTGTCAGAACTGGGCAATGGGTACATGTAGGGTCATTATACTATTATGTCTACTTGTGGATGTTCAAAATGAATCATAATACAAAGTTAAATAAGGGGCAATTCGTTTAAATAATGACAAGGCACCAACATCAACTTTTCTCAGGCTGGGCGCGGTGGCTCACGCCTGTAATCCTAGCACTCTGGGAGGCCGAGGCGGGCAGATTGCTCGAGGTCAGGAGTTCAAAACCAGCCTGAGCAAGACCAAGACCCCGTCTCTACTATAAATAGAAAGAAAATAATTGGCCAACTAATATATATAGAAAAATTTAGCCGGGCATGGTGGTGCATGCCTATAGTCCCAGCTACTCAGGAGGCTGAGGCAGCAGGACTGCTTGAGCCCAGGAGTTTGAGGTTGCTGTGAGCTAGGGTGACCCCACGGCACTCACTGTCACTCTAGCCTGGGCAACAAAGCGAGACTCTGTCTCAAAATAACCCAAAACAACAACAAAAAAAAAAAAACCAACTTTTCCCAATTTGATACTTAAGAGAAAGTCCCATTCCCAATTTGATACTTAACAAAAAGTCCCAATCCTCTTAATTCATATTTAATGATCAAATATTAGAATACTAATTTTAAAATGTTAATGACATTCAGAACCTGTATCCTCATCACTAATACTCAAATATTTGTTGAGTATTTACTATGTTGTACATACTAGAGAGGATTAAAAAATTTGATATTGCTACCCTCATTGAGCTTACAGTATAACAGATAGGTAGGTTTCATTCTGAGACCTCTTCTCTTGGCTTGTAGGCCTTCTCATGGTATACTCCCATGAACTCTTCTAGCAAGCTCTCTGGTGTCTCTTCTTAGAAGGGCACTAATTCCATCAGACCAAGGCCCCACACTCAATTACCTCATCTAACCCTAATTACTTCCCAAAGGCCCCATCTCCAAACACCATCACATTGGGGGTTAGGGCTTCAACATATCAAGTATGTATCAATTTCGGAGAGAGGGCATAAATGTTCAGTTCATAACAAGCACCTAACATAAACACAGATTGAATCATAAGAAAGGTCCTGGATAGCTCTGGAGGGTCCTAGAAGTGGTAACAAATTGAAAATGTGGTTTCTCTCCAGATCTACCTTTCCCACTATAGCCACTTCTGGCTGAACTAGAAATCAAAGGACGGGTTATTAATAGCTCTGAGTTACTTACTCTTTACCAAGACAGTTCAGAAATCTGCATCTCTCCTCAGAGCTCTAGGACACAGCTCTCAAATTATAATCTATTTGTGATATACTTGTCAATGATAAAAATTCATGTAGGTATTTTTATTAATATGAAAAAGTATTGAGAAATATTAACATTCTACCTTTTGTCTAGAATCAAAATCAATACTATCATAAATTGCTAAAGTAATTTTACTTTCCAGTAAAACTGGTAATAAATTCTTAATGATTATGGGTGTCACATCTGTAACAATGGCCTTCATATTTGAAAATTTTTGTTGTCCACATATAAAATTTCTAATTATGAAGCTATTATTATCTAAAATAACAGCAAGCAAGGAAATTAACCCAACCTAAGAAAACACTTGCAACATTAATTCATCATTTGCAACGAGCCATTACTTCAGTCTCTTTGTATTCCAAAAAATGACAATGTTCTTTTAAAAAAAGACAATGTTCATGGGTCCAAACAAGACTAAATGGAAGCGAGAAAGTCTTAAAATGAGCTATGTGAATTAATATATGTACAATAGATAAAACACATTTGATTTTTATTCCTAGTAACCAACATTTACAAGCTTCTAGAATGGGCAGAAATTGCTATGTGGCATATTTTTACCTTTCATATTCAGATACATTAAAATTCTCAAAAAAACCTCAAAGCACATGATAGTGCATCCTCTTGGGATAATCTGTGTTAACTCAGGCTATCATAAAGCCAAAATTATGAATTACTGATGAAAATATTCCTAAATGTAAAAATAATTTAAGCTAGTATGTTCATCTACCAATTTCTTGACTACCCCAGGGAGGGATAAATTATTACCCACTTTAGGCAAGTCAACTCATAACTACTATATGTGCAAGGCCATGAATTTATCCAACACTGCAATCTTTCCTTTTATTAGTATCCACAGTGGGATAATAGGCACATTTACTCTGGACACACAAAAAATTATACCTATCAATTATTAGAAGCACAATGTTGAAGATAGTAGTTCTGTAACTATTTGAACTGTTTGAATTCTTTTTTTTTTTTTTTTTGAGACAGAGTCTCGCTTTCTTGCCTAGGCTAGAGTGAGTGCCGTGGTGTCAGCCTAGCTCACAGCAACCTCAAACTCCTGGGCTCAAGCGATCCTGCTGCCTCAGCCTCCCGCGTAGCTGGGACTACAAGCACGAGCCACCATGCCCGGCTGATTTTTATATTATATATATTAGTTGGCCAATTAATTTCTTTCTATTTTTATGGTAGAGACGGGGTCTCGCTCAGGCTGGTTTTGAACTCCTGACCTTGAGCAATCCGCCCGCCTCGGCCTCCCAGAGTGCTAGGATTACAGGCGTGAGCCACCGCGCCCGGCCTGAACTGTTTGAATTCTTATTAGCAGTAAATATTTTAAATGTTAGTAACTTGGTAGTTGCTCGCAGGAAAATAATAATTGAGTCTCAATATTGATGTTAATGGTGGTGATCGATACTTTTATACCATTCAAATCTTACTGAATCTACACAATATAAAATTACAGAAAGGAAGAAGAGTATATACTAGCACAACTTCAGCATCTCTTCACCACTAGGGAGAAAATGACATGGCCCAGTTACTGCCCAATGAACTGCAAAAAAAGAGAAAACTCCAAGACACCTCTTCTCTGCTGATAGAGTTGATCCTTTCCCCACCCTTTGCAATACCCAGATACAAACAACGGACAGAAAACAATTAGTGGCCAGGTGTGGTGGCTCACACCTGTAATCCTAGCACTCTGGGAGGCGGAGGCGGGTGGATTGCTCGAGGTTAGGAGTTTGAAACCAGCCTGAGTGAGACCCCGTCTCTACTAAAAATATAAAGAAATTAATTGACCAACTAAAAATATATATACAAAAAAAAAATTATCTGAATCTTATGTGGACTTCTAAAAAAAACCAAAAAAACAAACAAACAAACAAAAAATTAGCCGGGCATGGTGGCGTATGCCTGTAGTCCCAGCTAGTGGGGAGGCTGAGGCAGCAGGATTGCTTGAGCCCAGGAGTTTGAGGTTGCTGTGAGCTAGGCTGACACCACGGCACTCACTCTAGCCTGGGCAACAAAGTGAGACCCTGTCTCAAAAAAAAAAAAAAAGAAAACAATTAGTATACATGTCACAGAAACCCCCAAACTGAACTGATCCATTTCTCAGTGGTCACAAAGAATAATTTGGTCTATATACCGACAGATTAATGTCAGTCTAAATTCTGTTGATAACTGTATAGTTGAGGGCAAAAAAGCACCATTTAATCAAAAATGTAAAAAATTATTGGCAGGGTGAGATTTAAGTTCAGGTACTACAGCACTGCATTTCTAGCACTACCATCCTGAAATTCAGAAGATATTATATTCACATAAAGCACATCTGATGTTTCACATTAATTTGCAAAAATCCAGAAGTTTTTCCTGGAATTTCAAGTGTGTCCAAGTTTACCCTAGCAGTTTAAAACAATAGTTACAAACACCATGGTATCAGGCAGATCTTGGGGCCAATTTCATCTAAGTGATCTTAGGCAAGTTACTTCACCTATCTGTGTCTCCAAGGTCATACTAGTGTTTATCTTCCTAACAGGGTACCTATTATGTAACTTTGGGCTATTTACATTAGATAATGCCTGCAAAATATTTATCACTATGCCAAAACCAGAGTAAATATTCAATAAATATCTACCATTGTCATTGCTAACTTAAAAGTTTAGAGGTTAACTTCTAAGAATCTGAGGCCAGACAACTTTGGTTCAAATTCTAGCATTGTTGGGTAATCTTGGGCAAGCTATTTAACCTGAGCTGCATAAATTTTTTAAAAAGATCAAATCAGTTAATATACACACAGGGTTTAGAAGAGTAACTAGCACAGAGCACTATTTAAGTGTTTGTTATTGCTAACATGCAGACAATTTAAAGGAAGGAAGTTTTTAAAAAAGGAACAGGAATTTGCAAACTAAAAATACAATGAATATCTTGATGTTCAAATAAAACTAACAGCCAACTCTAGCAATAACTAACTCACTATTTACTAGGGCAGGCATCCTATCCCAATGCTTGAAGCACCTAACTTCCTAAGCGACTGAATAAAAACAGCATCCATTGCCATTTTTTGGGTATCTATTATTAGCATCCGAGAGAGACATAGGTTTGAGTCACAGCTCTTCCTCTTAATAACTGTGTGTCTGTTAACCTCTCTGAGGCTTCAAAGATTCCTCATCTATAAAATCGTAATAATCATACCATCGTTACAGGATTGTTTTTAAAATTAATTAGGACTATGTATGTAAACACAATGATAGCTATTATCACTATTCCCAGTCAGGGACCTTACAAGGGTTGTTTATTCACATAGATTGTCTTATAATCCTTTCAATAACACCAGGAGGTAGGCAGCACCTCAGATATACGTAAAAAAAACACTTAAGCACAGAGAGGTGAAGTAAGCTGCCCAAGGCCACACAGCTAGTAGATAGCCCAACCAAGCAGGATTCCTGGTCAGACTTCATTAATAACACTACTCTTTACCTGAAGTCACAACACTTAAGATATGAAATAGAAGCCTTTCTTTCCCAGAGCTCAAGTGGTTAATTATTCAATGTATTTATTCAACAAACCATTATTGTGGACTTCTGTGCTGTTATAGTGGTTACCGTGGTGATTCCCGCCCTTATAAAGCTTTAGTGGGAGAGACAATCAACAGGTAACCATAACCACATAATTGCTAAAAACGATAAGAATCATAAAAAAAAAGTCGGCTAAGGCATTTAACAGGCAAGAGGTTTGCCGATTTTTTAGCAAGCACGATCAGAAAGGTTGGGGAGGGAGGGCAGTAGCTTGGCTAGTTGAACAACCATGAAAAAGAACCAATGAGGGTGGAGACAAGATGCCAGACGCTGATAAGCTAAGAACGTTCTTGAAGGGAAGAAGCAGACTCTCATTTTTTATCCCCTGCAGCATCAGACAGCATGAGATCCGGATTCTAGCACATCTGAACTCAAGGCCCGGCATGAAATGATCTCAGGTCTTTCCACTAGTTTCTTCATGTGTAAAATAGGCATGGTTGCTGCTACCGGAGGTGTCGTGAGGCTGCAATGAGGCAATGCGTATTCCCACAAAAATGAATTATAGAATCTGCAGGACGAAATGCAAAGCCCATTCTCCCACATGCCTCCCCATGCTGTTGTTTTCCAAGCCGAGGCCCCCCCCCAGAGGTGCCCTGAGGCCCTCGCCACCACACCCCAAACTTCCAGACCAGGGCCTCTCCTGAGAAAGCCCCCACGCCCTCGCCCCGCGCGATCATTCCCGGATCGGCCCACAGCCCCTCCCCACAGCACGCTCGAAGCGGCACATGTCAACCAAAACGCCATTTCCACCTTCCCTTCCCACACGCAGCCCTCTTTTCCCAGAGCTCTCCTGAGGAAGGACCCACCCCGAACCCCGCCATTCTGTCCTCCCTGCCACCCTCGTGTGACGTAAAGCCGAACCAGGGAAACTGGGGCGGCCGCGGTCGCCGGGACCGGGCGGCCAGAGCCCGCACTGCGGACCCCGCGACTCAGGGCCCGGCGGCCGCCGCCGCTCCGCCGCCGGCCGCGTGGGCCTGGTCCGGGTTGGCGGGCCAAGGTGCTCACCACGACGCTGGGGCTGCGGGTCGCCATAACGGAGCCGGCCGGCACGCGGGCTGACCGCTGAGGAGGAGGAAACCTTCGGTGGCTGAGCAGAGGAGGCGAGGCGCAGCAGGAGGCGGCGCCGCGCGGGAAAGCCGAGAGGTTTGCCTGAAAGCTCCTCACGAGCGCTGCCACCGCTGGAAGATGAAGAGAAGTAGGCTCCGCCCCCGCCCCGCCCCGCCCCGCCCCGCCGGCGCCCCCGCCCGCGCGCCTCCGCTGGCGCCTATCGGTTTCCAGGCTCACGAGGTGTCCGTGGGAATTTTCTTCCGGAAGAAGCGGAGACTACCCGTGCGCAGCCTCTATCCCTCTTTGCCTCAACCTCCCTTTCAGAGGCTCCGGGATCCCCAAACCTACCGCTGTCCGCGTTTTTTCCAAGTGGGCCTAAACTGGGTGCCGGCTCTTCGAGTTCCAGTCACCATGTGGCTCCTTGAGCCAGGCATCCCCTTCCCAAGACCTTACACTACATTGTGGCTTTTCTTGACTTGTGGCCCAGTTCTTACAGAAATCCTTAAGGTGTAAGAGTTGAGACCCAGAGTCCTATAGTTGGCCAGATCAGGGTATAAATCCGGGGGAACACTTAACTGCTTTGTAACTTTGTGCAAATCAGACTCCAAGCCTCTATTTTTGCCTCAGTAAAATGAGCATATTAACAGTACATTCTAGGCCCAGCGTGGTGGCTCACGCCTGTAATCGCGGCACTCTGGGAGGCCGAGGCGGGTGGATCGCTCAAGGTCAGGAGTTTGATGCTGCAACGACCTATGATTGGGCTACTGCACTCCAGCCTGGCTGACAGAGAGACAGTGTTTCTTAAAATTTAAATTAAAAATGAGAAACGGCTAGGCGGGGTGGCTCAAGCCTGTAATCCTAGCACTCTGGGAGGCCGAGGCAGGAAGATTGCTTGAGCTCAGGAGTTCGAGACCAGCCTGAGCAAGAGCAAGACCCCATCTCTACTAAAAATAATAAAAAGAAAAAAAAATAGGCATGATGGCTTGAGCCTGTATTTCCAGCTACTCAGGAGGTGAGGTAGGAGGATCACTTGAGCCCAGGAGTTTTGAGGTTGTAGTGAGCTATGATGACACCACACTGTACTCTAGCCAGGGCAACAGGGTGAGACTCTCTGTCTCAAAAAAAAAAATGAGAAAAATGATTCCTGCTCAAGGGTTTTATGAGAATTGTAAAAATCATGTATGTAGTTGGTCCGAGGGTTGTGGGTTATTGTTAAGCTGATTTAACATTGTCTCCCCCCACAACCACGCTTGACTAGCTTTAATAAAAATAAAAAAAATAAAAAATCATGTATGTAAAACACCTAGGTGAATATGTGCCACATAGTAGGTGCTCAAGAAACAGTCGCTGTTATCATTTTAGCACATAAGAATGTGTGAACTCTACTTCCCTAGTTCGTTTGCCTTTGGTATCTATCATGGAGAGGCAGCAGGCTTTGGCCTGAGAAAGATCTGAGTTGAAATCCTGAGTTCCCCACTAACTAGCATAATGACTTTGGGCAAGATCCTTGATTTCTGTGTACCTCAGTTTCTTTGTATGTCCAATGAAGATAATATTTCTATCACAGACTGTGTCGAAGATTAAACAAAGTAATGTATACAAAAGTGCCTAGCATAGTGCTTGGTTCAATACATGTTAATACCAATGTTATATGTTCCATAATTTTGCCTTAAACAATTCTTCACTCTATTTATTATCCTTGCAGCCTCTAACACTTCTTATTCATTCTCTTATTATTCATTTATTATTCATTCATTGATGGACATTTGGGCAGTTTCCAGGTTTGGGCTATTACAATAGCAGCCCAAATGCTGCTACGAACATTTTTTACATATCTTTTGGTGAACATATGAATGCATTTCTATTTGGTACAGACCTGGAAGTTCATATTAGCACATTTTCATTACTTATATATTTTTTTTTTTTTGATACAAAGACTCACTTTGTTGACCAGGCTAGAGTGATTGCCATGGCGTCAGCCTAGCTCACAGCAACCTCAAACTCCTGGGCTCAAGCAATCCTACTGCCTCAGCCTCCCGAGTAGCTGTGACTACAGGCATGCACCAACATGCCTGGCTAAAGTTTTCTATATATATTAGTTGGCCAATTAATTTCTTTCTATTTATAGTAGAGACTGGGTCTTCCTCTTGCTCAGGCTGCTTTCCAACTTCTGACCTCGAGCAATCCGCCAGCCTTGGCCTCCCAGAGTGTTAGGATTACAGGCGTGAGCCACTGCGCCCGACCTCATTACTTATACTTTTAATAAACTTTGTGTTCTACCAGGAAGTTACTTCAGAGAACTTCTGGTTATATATTCAGCCCTGACACATGTGGACTCAGCTACTCACATTTGTTTCTAAATTAATTATCCAACAATTCAGAATCCTTCCAGCTTGCTTCTGGCTTGCAGTTCCTTTCTCCAAATCCTGTGGTACCAGATACTCCTGAATTTTAAGTAGATTTGAAATAAATAGTGATAGCCAGGTGATAGTAAAAACAAAGAAAAGTACTATTATTTAAATCCTGTGACAATTCTATGTGACAACTTGAAGTTTTCTTATCTGTGTCTTAAGGTGGAAAACAGCAGAGTGCAATCTGCAAAATGTACGACTTTTTTTGGTAAGCAAAAATCTGGTTCATATATGAAATGTTTTACTGAATTTGGACATATTTAAAATTGAAATGAATTTTTTAAAAATTTTAATTGTTTTCAAACTAAAAACAAAATCTAGAAAATAATTATTACTAATTATTACATGATTATTCCTGAAAATAATTTTGTCATATGGAGGCGAGGGATGTTAAAAATTATCTGCCACGAGTGTCGAATATGCTAGTATGCCACTGTTCTTTACTAGAATATCTGCATTCAGGAAGAAATAAGAAAAGCATGGGTGTAACCCAAGATTCCCCTTCCTCATTCCTGTCTGTCCAGAACAATTTTGTAATCTACTTGTTTGAACACAATTATGAATTTTTGTGTGATTCACAGCCAATCCCAACTACGTTTCTGCTCTACGAGTTTCTACTAAGAACCTTGTTTTTAACCATGGTGCTGTGCTCCTCTAAAATTTGTATTTCCATAAAAAAAAACTTTTCACCACAAAAATACCTACCTTAAATGTTGAATTTTTAAACTGAGTTGGTAATAACTTTCTCAATAATGTCAGAGTTTCACTTTTGTCAGAATAAATTTCCATAAACTTCACTTTTAATCCATAAATTGGATGTAAAACTGAACTATTATTGGAATTAACTAATATGATGGTTAATTTTATGTCACCTTGGCTGACTGCAGTGTCCAGGTATTTGGACAAACATTTTTCTGGATGTTTGTGGAAGTTGTTTTTTGGATGAGATTAATATTTAAATTGGTGGCTTTTGAGTAAAGCAGATTACATTCCATAATGTAGGTGGGCCTCATCAGCTTAAGGCCTTAATAGAACAAAAACTGACCTCCCCAAAGAAAGAAGGAACTCTCCAGAAGATTGCCTTTGGATTAGAACTACAATTCCTCCCCGAGTCTCTAGACTGCCAGCCTGCACCATCAGATTTTGGGCTCACCAAGCCTCCACAATTGCATGAGCCAAGTCCTTAAAATAAATCAATCCCCCTCCATATAGATAAATATCTAGATACATATAGATAAATATCTAGATACATATAGATATATCTATATATGTGTATACTTCCTGTTGGCTCTGTTTCTATAGAGAACCCCAACACAACTGATTTTCTGTTTGAAGTATCTAACAATATCAATATAAAACTGGCATCATTTAACTGTTTGTGAAGTTCTGCTAACTGAGTTACTGATCAGAAATATTGCCTCACTTTTTGTCATGTACAAGGAAACTTGGAATGGAAAATGAGCAAATGAATTTTGAAGAAAAGGCACTTGATCTAAACAAAAGTCCTTCACAGAGCAATATATAAATATCTCTCTGCAACTGTACCTCATTAAATCAACATCTTTGGGCACAGTCTTCTTAAAATAACTACAAACCTTTGAGGTAGATGCTGATGCTTTCTTGGTATATTTATGTCTTCTGGTTTTCATGTAGTCAGTGACATCATTGAGCCCCAAGAGTAGATGATAAATGTTGACAAATGTTTTCTGCATATAACACATTCATCATCAACTTTTTTGAGAAACAAATTTGGTATCTAATTATTGATTTATTATTATTATTATTATTATTTTTGAGACAGAGTCTAGCTTTGTGGCCCAGGCTAGAGTGAGTGCCATGGCGTCAGCCCAGCTCACAGCAACCTCAAACTCCTGGGCTCAGGCAATCCTCCTGCCTCAGCCTCCCAAGTAGCTGGGACTACAGGCATGTACCACCATGCCCGGCTAATTTTTTCTATATATATTAGTTGGCCAATTAATTTCTTTCTATTTATAGTAGAGACAGGGTCTCGCTCTTGCTCAGGCTGGTTTTGAACTCTTGAACTCAAGCAATCCGCCCACCTGGGCCTCCCAGAGTGCTAGGATTACAGGCGTGAGCCACTGCATCCAGCCTAATTCTTCATTAATTATGCACTTTAGGTTTTGAACTCATATACTTAAAGAGTTGATTGCAAAAATTTTTTAAAAAGCATTACCAAACAATAAAATAGTGGGTTGTAGATTTTCACCATATAATGAATGACACTGTACCAAGAGAATTCAGACTACCTGCTATATGTTCTATGGCAGGACTTCTCTGCCTCTATTTCCTGAATATATTTTACATACATGTAAATATATAATTTCCTATATCCACTGGCCCACCAACTGGTGGCCTGGCAGCTTCTTGTATCTTGCAGGCTTTGGCATGGATACAATTGGCTGGTACATCAGGTATTCAGCAAGGAACACAATTGCAAATACTCCTCCCACCCCCACCTCGGACTAGAATGAGTTAGCTGTTCCTAACTCCTAGTGTCCGAGTGTACTTGCTTTTTTATCAGTGAACGCCTTGCATACTGTCCTTGTTTTATTACATTTGGAAAAGATTAGGCAAAGGGAGAAGGGTTATCACTGGTTGTCCTTCAGATTTAAGCTCAATGCAACTATTAATGCTTAAACTTCATTAGAAAATGAAAAATCTGGAACAAATGCTAAATTGGACAAAATGGTGGAATAACAGACATAAACTGGAACCGCCCCAGACAAA